AGAGATCCTACCCTACGCCATTAACCAAAATCTAACGTATCAATCTCCGGATGGTGTGCGTATTTCCGGAGTTTAAAGAATGTTATCTTTGATATGTGTATATCCAATGCAGAAGCAAGTCACTACCTCCACACCATATCAAACATGAGGGTATCGAACAAACACCCAAAGCACTGAGAGGAATTTGGTGAGGACCTGGCGTTCTACTACCAATGCAGGAATTATGCTCAGGTTATAAGCATAAATCCTCATGCATAATTTTTCCTCATTGATGGTAACCATCAGTTTGAAGTGGATGCCACGGAACGTCTAAAATAGGTGGTAAGTTGCATCTTGGTGGCATGTTCATTTGCGTGTTTTATTTATTTCTTGATTTATTTAGTTCTCAGTTCTTTGGATAACGTTCAAGGTAAGGCCGAATCTAACATGATGTTTTGCCTATCATCCACATCTGCAGACTGCAGGTCTTCAGCCTGTTTGGACGACTGCCATCAGTCGCACGATTGTGATAACGAGAAAGCCGGGAGTAGTTTCAGGGGCTGTTGTCTACAACGACACCGCGCGAAAGTGCCTGGATCTGACGTGAGCCATGATGCCGTCACCAGGCACGCTTTCAAGGTCGCAGACTGTCTCTTATTCTTAATCAGTGCTGACATTAGCACTGTAGCTCAAGCCCCCACGGTCTGGTTCAAAACAAAGCCACAAGAAGTTTTTCGCCCTTCTCCCGTCTTAAACGCAGGTGACAGCTTAGAATTGGCAATCCCGGAGATGGCCACGACGTAGGGAGTGCCACGGACAGCTTTTACCAATTCGCCCATCTCTATTAAATCAGCAATATTAACCAATCAGTAGCTAGCTGTTTCGTTTCCGGAGGCTATGATGATGCCAGCATTAAACTGTGTTACGCTGAGTCTAAATTGATCATTTTCTCCTGTTATCCAGATTGATGTTCATGTCTGAAATTTATGATACATATTCAAGCAAACGAGTGCAAAATCTTAGCTCTCTGCAAAGACCATGTCGTTTTTTCGCACAAAAACATACCGGCAGTTTCGTTCGTTGGTCTTCCAGAATGCTGCGCGACACAGGTGGGCCAATGTAAGTCCTCCCACACTGAGAGCCTGACAGCTGTTTTGGGTAATTTCTCTCCAGCTGATGGCAATGAATTATCGCAATGAATTGGTCCAATAAATTGTCGCATCTAGTTTTTTTTGGGGGGGGGCGGAAGGGGGGGGGGGGGCTCAGCCCCCTGACCTTCGTCCTTTCCGCGGCGCTAGGCATCGCCGTCCAATGTCTGCTGTGAGGTCGGCTACACCCTAATATGGAAATGCTAATTAGAAAACGGCTAATAGGCACGAGGCGAACGAGGCAATACTAGCTGTCTAAGCTGCCAAGCATCATGTACATGAAGCCAAAAACTAAGGCAATGGTGCTAGACAGACACCTTCGGCCACACATGACGACAATTTCGACAAGCGTGCTGTAAAGTACCACCCATGATAATTCAACAGATAGTTCTCCACTGATGCGGCATTCATGAGCTAATTCATAAATAACGTGGAACGATTGCTCCGATGAACCTATGCCCAGGTTGATAATAGGAAAAGGAAGGAACTTCGCCTTTCAATTGGCGTCACAAGGGTTCAGAGGAGAAAACAGCTTAATCCCACCGATGTATCCTATTTTGCAACGACTTCAGGATCCGGAGATGGGCTTGTTTCCAGTCGTTTTCCGGTCACTTAATGAAACCAGGCCGTGTTCACTCTATACTTCATTGAACTGAAATTCGGCAGCATGAATTCCATAATCAATTAATACGCAATGATTTACGGTTTGGTCAACTGCGACCAACGTATTGGGGAACACGCAACATTTTTGATTAATATTGGTAAAAACCGGAATAACACGCCCCATGCAATTTCCATATGACTCATTTCTGTTTTGCCCACGACATTTTGTATTTGAAATCGGTTTCGGAAAGGCAAAAACGGTCGTTTTCCGGTCGATTGCAGGGAGCCTACGGGTCAGACAACTTTGAGATTATTTAACGAGTTAGAGCCCTTGCATTCACCAACATCGTGCAAGTGGTCTTACGTTTTATCTGCTTCATTGCTAACATCTGACACTGATCCTTAAAAACACCCAAACAGGACCGATCCACGGTTTGCGCATGAGAGGTCGTGGCGGTCCGTCACGCATCGGCTCACACTTTTGTCCGCGTGATTGTCCGTTTTCTCCTCCGTCAGAATTTGTTAGTCTGGTGTTACTGCAACGCCAGGTTTTCCAGATCCCGACCCGGTTTCGACCCGTGGCCTTCAGGTTTTTTTTGGCGGGCTAAACATTTTACGTTTTCCATGTAAATCGAATGAGGAAGTCAAATCGTGCTGCTGTCGTGCTGTGGGAAAAAGCCCGTCTGTTCAAACGGCTTGCTAGCAGATGCCCCTCAATTTGCACAGCACGTCTTTTAAAGAAGAGGAACTCGAGCTGCCGAAAACTGTGAGACACTACGACCAATCCTCGCAAATATATGAAACTCTAGACAGCGCGACAGCCTGGCAGGGCCGAGGCAGAGTCGAGAACTTTTCCACAGCTCAAGTAAAACCCACTCGGCTCACGGCCTTGATCGCCATTATTTGGTATCGCCACAAATGACCACGTCCATTTGTTGATTGGCTTCCATATTGCTCGTTCCTCATTTCACAGTAGAGGTGCAAGAGCTGGATACGCTTTGTGACTTACGTCTGTGTTGGTCACATGCGCTATTCACGATTTTCCTGCAGGTCAGCCTTCGACCGTACAATTGGGCATTGATTTCCTAAAGTTTACAGGTACCATATTATCACCACGGCAACTGTCACTTGATTCCCGAAAGTTTACAGGTACCATATTATCACCACGGCAACTGTCACAAGGCCCTGGAACACAGAGAAAAATTCTCACAGCAAAAGTACTTTTTGCGTCGAGGTATGCGGTTATTTGCCGGCTGGGACAGCACGTGGTACTTGCAAACGCATCCTTGATTTACAATACGTACGTAATGATTTACAATGATATTTATAACCAGACAATGCTGTACCCTCTGGCCGTAACCTGCAGTTTAGTTTCGCGAGCACATGCGGAGGAAGACCCCTGTAGAGCACATAAGGAGGAGGACGGGCTAACAGCGTCCTCTGAGACATACTCCCCCTGCCCCTCCCAACGTTTACCTAGCTAAACACGGTCCATTGGCGGCGTACCTCGGACATGTCGGATAGATCTAGTTCCTATACTTAGATAAAGCACCGGGCGGTTCATGCATATGACATACATACGGGCCGCTACGTTCGCATGGAGGAGGAGAGGTGGGGGCGTAACGAAGTGTTGCAAGGGATGGGTGGTGTTGTTTGCACTGCGTAACATTGCGGTCGGGTTTGGTTGCAAATCATGCCAAGTCTTTTTCAAATATTTTTAATACCTTTCAGCGGGATACCGCTGGCTTCCTGTCGGGGTAAGTAACACGCCCGTCATTGTTTCGTACCTCGAGCTTAATTATCAACCAAACGGACGGTGCCTTTTGGGGACGTCACGCTTTGTTCTGCGCCCCTGTGTTCCGAGGCAAGAGCACAGGAAATACCGGCAATAGGTCAGGTCCGGTCAGCCAAAGCTGCGGGAAAACAGAAAATTGGACAGAGACCAGCCACAGCCAGAACTCACGGAGGATAAGTCAAGAATACAAGGCAGATCCATTCGGGCTTTTACCGCCACTTCGTGCTTGAAACTGCTCGTCATCCCTAGTATGGAATTAAAAAGCTGCAACATTTTTCAACAAGACAACAACAGTCCATACCACCGTCTTCCGCCGAACAATTGACCAGCTCCGCCAGCCTTTAACCACGTTGTCCAGTACTATCTGCGATATGCGCTAAGCCACGTTGTCCACCACTATCGTTCTGTGATACGAACTCGGCCGATACAACACTGCCAGCAAGGCGGCACTGTCCTCGTCGGACCGCGACGGCCCTGCGAACCTGAGCCGCTCGAAGGGCCCCGCCCAACCATTTTCCAGCTTCTTAATGTCCAGAACCAGCAGAAAATCGTGATTCCAAACGGCGATTTTTAATTTCAAATGATGAATATCACAGCACGGGTGGCGAATTTCTGACCGAAGGAAAGGTAGCATGCTAATGAGCGTGGTAGATGCCGCAACCTTCTGCGCTTTTTCGGCGCATTTTCTGTTTTACATTCAATCTTTCTAGGCTGTAGAACATCTGTGGTTGGTACCGTTACCGTGTTTTATCAGCGTTCATGAACGTGGAATCGTCTTGTTTTTTCCTCGTGCACAGTCAGTGCTTTGTCTAAATTATTTTTTGTTACGTGTCTTGCAGCACGTTCATCATGACTCACAACACAGCTTCGGACACATCCTACAAGTTTTGCGTGACACAGCCGTAACATATTTGAGGTATGAATCATGAGTTCGGCCACGTCGGCTTGAGAGCACAGCATCAGACAATTAAGTCCAAATTTACCTTCACCTGCGCCTCCGGCTGCGTTGTTGCAGGCACGCTTTCACGCCCGGGAGATAAACGAGATATCTCAGTGCGCAGCAAAATATCACCAAGCTCTCCAGGGTCCAAGCGAACCAAAAACGTGCGACGAACAATAGGAACAAAACATTTGACCATCGTTATTTTTAGACGTTTTATGTCTGGGCGTAAGTTGCATCGGTGCATGAAATAAAGTATGAGACACTAGGACGGTCTTATCTCGTGATCTGTGTGGCATGCATCTACTTGTCGTTGTTAGGGAATTGTTGGTGGATCGACTGCTACGGTCATTTTGCGCCCTGACGTGCAGCTCCCTCCCCAGTGCTCGGCCGGACGCAGCCACTCCGAGGCACTGCACATACGCCGCAGAACACAGTGTGTGAGAGGCCCGCGGTCGTAAACGCCTTCAGCAGTCCAAACAAGACCATCTTTTCCCATTCGCGAGATCAAGTGGCACACCGACTCACAGCCGTCTCCTGTTTCCGGTTGTATTCGAAGTGAGACTGTGACGAGCGGGGAACACTGCGCAATGGCGCGGGCGGCGGAGCAGATGACACGCGACAGAGTGCTTCAGACAGCACACAACTCCTACGACTATGCACGATGGAGCGAGCTCGACGACACACACGAACACACGGCCAAGCGAGGGGATGCCGCCAGACCAGCTGCGGCCGCGGCTGTTCCGGGAGGAGGGGCTCCCGCCGGGTCGGGCGGACCCACACGTGCACGCCACGGACCGACCGCAAACAACATGGCGGCCGCCATCGCCGGGCCCGGCCGGCACCGGCGTGCAGACGGCGGCAGCTGGACCCAGCGGCGCCAGGGACGAGAACTGACCACCGACCTCCATCCCACGAACAGCGACATCGAACCGCGGACCGCCGCACCAAACCACGCCGGGAAAAAGCCCGGGAGAACGGTGTCTTTTCCTCCCCACCGCTTCTCTCTGAGCCGCGCTCCTGCCGCAGGGGGATCGTGTAGTACGCCCCACGTGGACGGCTGAGTCGCGCCGTTCCCAGATCGTGGCCACAAATCGACGGGGTCACGGAGTGGCCGCGGGGGGCATCTCACCCCCGCGCCCCTGCCGGCCGACCGCGACACGGCGGGGTCACGGAGTGGCCGCGCGTGCAGCTCATCCCCGCGCCCCTGCCGGCCGGTCGCGTCACGACGCCTTCGCCTGGTCGGCAGATTGGAACGGCCGCCACACCAGACACTTGGGGTCGATCTCCTTGTGGTCGGGCCCGCGCCGGCGCCGCTTCTCCTCGAACTCGTCGAAGATGTCCTGCAACCAGCACCGCGCGGCGTGAGCGGAGCGCGCCGTGCGAGCGGGGCGCTGGGGGTGCGAGCGAGGCGCTGGGAGGGGAGGTACGAGCGGGACGCTGGGGGTGCGAGCGAGGCGCTTGGGGGGAGAGGGGGTGCGAGCGGGACGCCGGGGGGGGGGGGGGGGGGGAGTAGAGAGGATGCGACGGAAAATCGCCCAGTTTGACCTACAGGAGCCGCAAACCAGTCCGCTGGGGGGTTCCGAAGGCCCAAAAGTGACCACTCCACACTCATTTAACTGTAAATATAGGGATAGGTTCCGGGAATGTTCAACTTCACTCAAAGGGAAAGACACCAGACGAACGATCCTGATCCCTTCATCCGCGCCTGCGAGCTCCAAACACAAGCGCAGGATGTGTGTCGTTTCTGGTCGCCACAACGCGCGAACACAGCGACGCGGCGCGCCTTGACTGTCGCCAGATGACCGTGGTAACATGCTCCAGTCGCGTCTGGCAGGAACATGCCCTCCCCCCTCCACTCACGTCTGGCAGCGACGTGCCCCGCCCCAGGCGCCACCCACCTGCTTCTTGAGGATGATATGTTTGTTCTTCCAGTATTTGACGATACCAACTGCCTGCAGTGTGCTGACGATGTCATTAGAGTTGGCGGCCATCTCCTGGCTGATATCTGAAGAGGACGACGACGAGAGGTCACCATAGGTCAACGACAGGCCAGCGCGGGATCCCGACCGGTCACCCGGAACGTCGATAGTTCAGGAGGCGACAACAAATCACCGGAGGTTCACGGTAGGTCACCGCGAGACCATGACAGGTCACGGAAGAAACCCGTGTCACCTATTCAGCGCGGCAGTGGAGACCACGGCACGTCTCTGGATGACGACTGGTCGCCGGAGGACCCCGGCACGCCGCCCGGCGAGCGTGACAGGTCATTAACTCAGGGGACCCTCAACCAGGACCCGTCCGCCACCACCGCGTCAGCTGGACGGGGCCGCGATTGGGACCACTGGACCCACGGGAATGGACTGATGACCGCAAGACGGAGCACACAGGACAGCACAGCTGCGGGGAGTGGACTGACGACCGCACGACGGAGCATACAGGACAGCACAGCGGCGGGAAGTGGACTGATACAGGACAGCACAGCGGCGGGAAGTGGACTGGTCACCGCACGACGGAGCACGCAGGACAGCACAGTGGCGGGAAGCGGACGATCGCCGCAAGACGGAGCACACAGGACAGCACAGCGGCGGGAAGTGGACTGGTCACCGCACGACGGAGCACACAGGACAGCACAGCGGCGGGAAGCGGACCGCTGCAGTTCTATGTAGACACGAAACCAACGACTCGCACTCGCGGCTGGCACAACCGACCTCCGAGTCACTACTGGTTCGTGGCTCAAACCCATCGGGACCGCTAGTGCTCCGTGTCCGAAACTGGCACGGTTCCAGGTGCCTCTCGGAATCCGTCCTCGATCCTGTTCGTACCGGACAACGAGCGCTGTGTAACAGCGCTTACTTTCCGACATTTCGGCGGACATAAGAGTGTGGTGTCAGTTCAACTTTCGGAAACATGTGCTTAACTCACGATGTCAGGCTGCGCAATGACACGCATTTCCTTTCGGAAGCAACATATGGACTTGTCAAAAGGACACCTAATTATCCAAAGTTAAGTCTTCACCTTACCATCGGAGCACCTGTGCCACCTTACTCCATGCTTATCATTTTGAATTATGGCGTTCGGGTGCCTTTTGTGGCTTCCTGATAAAACTCTGTCCAATTTGTGCAATGAATGCATGCTATGCAATGATCCGTAAATGAAAAGGCCCAATCGATACCCTCTCTAAGAAATGCATTCAAGCACATACTGTGCATCTGGGCAATTTAGCCGGAATAACTGGCATATTAAAACTACTCATGGAGCACGAAAATAAATTCAACTAATTATGAGTCGCGTTTGCGGTTCAGACAACAATGGCCTGCGTCTCCTGCGTCTTCCTTCAGGTCTCCGAGACTCGACAGCTGGCACACACAGCGCAGCACTGCTCAGACCGCTCTGAGTCACCGCTGACTCCAACTTCGACTCTAAGGCGAGCCGGCGTGACTTGACTTGGCTGCGTCGCCACTGACTTCGACTCCGACTCCGAGGCGAGCCGGCATTACCCGGCTGGGCTGAGTCACTACCGACTCCGACTTCGAGGTGCGCCGGCATGACTCGGCTCGGTTGCGTCCCGCTGACTCTGAGGCGAGTCGGTGTGGCTCGGCTAGGCTGAGTCACCGCTGACTCCGAGGCGAGCCGGCGTGACTCGGCTTCGCAAGCTATTGAGCACGTCCGAGCTGGCCGCGCCCGATCAATGTAACCACAACAAACTGGACGAGCCGTGCAAAAACACCGACCCGGTCGGGACCGCCTGGTCCGGCACGGCGCTGGCAGCGTCTCGGAATCCACGGAGTCGGGACCGCCTTGTCGGGCACAGCGCCGGCAGCGTCTCGGAGTCCACGGAGTCGGGACCGCCTGGTCGGGCACGGCGCCGGCAGCGTCTCGGAGTCCACGGAGTCGGGACCGCCTGGTCGGGCACGGCGCCGGCAGCGTCTCGGAGTCCACGGAGTCGGGACCGCCTGGTTGGGCACGGCGCCGGCAGCGCCTCGGAGTCCACGGAGGACGGACACCTGGTTCGCGAACCCACACGCCATCGCCGTCGCGACTGTGTCCACACCCCCGCGTGACGCACTGCAGCCAAACAAATATGCGCCCAAAGCAACGCCGCCCACGCGCGCGTAACGTGCGCGGCTCAGCACACAGACCCAAACGCCCATCAACGCCCACGAAAAGGTACAACGAGCCAGTGTGCGGAATGTGCAGGAGTGTGCGGAGTGTGCACACAGACCCAAACACCCGCCAAAGCCCACAAAAAGGTACAACGAGCCAATGTGCGGAATGTGCAGGAGTGTGCGGAGTGTGCACACAGACCCAAACACCCGCCAAAACCCACAAAAAAGTACGACGAGCCAATGTGAGGAGTGTGCAGGAATGTGTTGAGTGTGCACACAGACCTCAACACCCACCAACGCCCACAAAAAGGTACAACGAGCCAGTGTGCGGAATGTGCAGGAGTGTGCGGAGTGTGCACAGAGACCTAAACACCCACCAACGCCCACAAAAAGGGTACGAGCCAATGTACGGAATGCTTTGACATTATGACGCGACATGCTAAGCAACAAATGGTTTGCTGATAGTTCAAGACAGGCATTGTATCGACTGAACAGCCTTCGGTTTGGCGCGCATGATGATTCAGCTGGAGAAAGTTCGATGAAAGCCACACCAGCTGCTTTTGAGCACGGAAATGCCAGCAGACAATATGCGCCGCTGCGTCCGTTCAGCCGCGCAGTCCGCGAAACCGGGCTGCGCAGAGGTCTTTTAATCCAGTTTGAGGTCGCCGCCGTAAAAAACGAAGTGATTGCACAAAGTGAATGCTATCATGGCTGGCGGGGTATGGCGAATGAGAGGTCAGTAGTGTCCGCGCAGGGCGACTCCCTATGACGTCACACCGCAGCCGGCCTCTGACCTTTAAGAAATCACAAGGGGCCACAATACAACTCTCTGTAAGTTAATCCCGTCGAGGTGATTGGTTTTGTTGGGTTCCCGTGGGAAAGATTGGTGAGCATGTGATCAAACAGTCTCGATGCATAATATTAACGGCTGGCCGCATCACCGATTTGCCCAACTGCTGACCTTACGAGAGCACGCAGGACCACCGCGACGCAAAATTATACGCGGGGATTGGCGAACGAAGGATGAACACCTCTTGCACAGCTAACAAATATTCCACAGTTCACGGTAGCTGCCGACCTTTGGACAAGCTCAATAGATCCGTTGCTGTAATGCGACCACATGCAAATCACATAAGCCTTTTTAGTTAATTGCCAAGATCTTTTATGGAGGCCTAGAGCAAAGCTAGGAGAAAATGTGATGCTGCTATCTTAAAGCAACACATTAGCAGCCACCTGCGCAAAGTGGTTCGCCCAATTTCTGACCTTCGAACACATCCATGGCCAACAAAGGCACATCTCATTGCCCGGCTTATTGTATGAAAGATAAACACTCCGGGTCCCAAATCGGGTGAGTTTTGCTGGGCTCGATACCACTGCTTCTTGGAAAGGGTTACTCAATAATTCGGGAGCCAAAACGCAACGTTTTTCATGCTCCACACTTTCGCTTTGTTCGCGAGTTTTCGCTTACGATTTTCAACGGACAATGAATTGCCAAACACGGGTAAAATGCGGCGACAGTACCCCCTCAAAAAAGGTGCTGCGAAGTCTTGACAGCGCGGTCTTGTCAGCTGTATTGTAAACTCGTCGTGAATAGCATATGGCAGGCGCTAAAGGGCAGAGCTGAAAACATGACATGCGAGAATGGAATTGTTACATTCTGTACACGACTTCAATTTACATCATTTGCACATATTTGGCATCATTTGTTCAATGTCCGGAGTGGCCGGTCGGTACCGGACGCAAAACGGCCACAGCAGCCAAACCGCTGTTAAAAATCAAAATCCAGTCGGGCCGGGAAGACGTTGTAACGATGTGCCAAGGACAGGAACCATGACTGTCAAGGGGAAGCTGCATTCGAAAGTTGCTTTGTTTCGCGCACCGACCACGGGTGAATCCCTTGCAACTTTGACGGAAATCGGGCAGCGACCGCTTGCCACCCCTTCCTTCCCTTTCCAGAGCTGTATTCTAGAGGCAAGTCACGACACGGACCCTAAGAATGCGGCGCTCTTGCTTAAAAATGCACCATAAACTGATGCGTGATGTCAGTTACAGCCCAGACCATCATGCAAAGCAATAAATCACAAACAGATTCTGTGTCAAATAGTAATGCGGGAAAGCCGATAAGACACAAAACCGCAACGAGACAAAAAAGGTTCCAGAATGTCCTTAAATGCGTAAATCCCACTTAGCACACGCTCTGCGCTGAAGTTTAAAATCAGCGAATGTGCAATTCCCAACGCTACTCTGCAAACACGCAGTCTTGTTCGGATTCCTGTAGGCATTCGGAAAGGTTCAAGGAAACCGTTTTGGCCCTCAATGCTAGCGCCATATTTTCCCAAGTTCGCCAAAGCAACCATTGACGCTATCGCAATGTTTCTGGACTGTCGCATTTCATTGCAAAGATTCCAAAACACAGCCTGCGAAAATGTTGTACGCTGCCGCCTTCACGTAACAAATGGCTTCCAAACATCCCCGTACCCCCAATATTGTCATCCGTCCTACCACCATACCGTTTATACCAGTAGTCTTTTTAGCACTTTTCTAAGCAAAGATCTGAAGCAATGCCTTCGATCGTCTCTGTGATCCACCATCTCTGCCGCAAGGAATGACTGAAACAAAAGTTGAATAACCTTCTGCCGGCCACCTGTTTAAACGGAATGTTCCACATTTGAAGATTTTGAGATAAGCATCAGATATGACGGGAAAAGCTTGCTTGTAACTATAAGTAACCTTTCAAGGTTCGAAAACGACCGTAAGCAGCAAAATTTCAAAGTTTGTAAAAATGCGCCTCATTACGTCATTGTTTGATGGCGTCATGGAATGGGTTTGTGACAACAGTAATACCTGGCAGCATCTGGCAACCAGGCCTAAAGAATACCTCGAAACACACAACTGACGC